ATGAGACGTCAGTAGCTAGCCGTGCTAAAGAGAGCAGGTAATGACTGAAGGAACTGCGCTTTTACGTCTGGCTTAACTGAACTGTCATTTACATTTTCATCTATCCGCTGCTGATGCGCAAGGTGAGGACGTTATGAGGGGCAACACAGAAACAGCTGTTGTGCTGGTTTTTTCTAACACCTTAAACCATTCAACTGAAGCACTTAATGTTGGCACTAAGTAAAAGCTGCAGTCAAGGTTGAAAAGTCAGATTTTCTGAAGATAAAACAAGATTTGAAAGGTAAAATTTTGAAGCATTCCTGAACATCTGCGTATAAAACAAGAAAAAATACACGTGCATGGAAAATCAAGCGAGTACCGCATTCATTTGAGGATTGCGTCCAAATGAAGACAACATTGGATACTGCAGCAACGAGTTCGGTTGAAAGGAGAAGAGATCTGTAATGATTCAAGCTGACTAGTAATAAATTTAGGTAATTACAAAGCCTTCGTTCAGAATTTTTACATGAGGGGGGAGGGACAAAAAAGACCACACATGGAGCGCACTATGAATAGGTAGTGATCAGCAACTAGGTAGTGTATATATTAACTCTGGTCACTTCTCTCAAGACAGAATGTTCGTAATCCGCCGGAATGACTTGCTTGAAATATCAGCAGGACACATCGCGTTGTGATCAATTCCCAAAAATACGACGCACCCCTAATTCCATCCTCGAATGTAACCCCCCTCCCCGTGCCACCTACAATTTTCCTAGATTTCCCCTACCTCCTACCTCCTTTTCCATTTTTTCCCGGAAAATTTCTGATTTTTCCCCAATATTTTGCTGTCTAGGGGGGAGTGGGATTTAACTATCATTTTCAACTATCAGCAATAGTAGTTGTATAGATTTTCGGCAGTTATTCTCCCAACAACGACCAAATACGACCCCCCCCCTCCTTTATAGCGTCCGTGAAACAAGAGAAATCAACTATCAAAAAAAATTTTCTCAGACCAAATACGACCCCCCCCCTCCCTCCTCCCTCGCGGTCAAATACGACATCACAACGATGGCGTCCCTGGATACCAGGTCCAGTTATGAAAGGAAAACAAATCACGAACCACATCGAATATATCCCAACAGTTGGACGGCTGGTGTTTTCACTCATCAAACGCTGACACGTCCAAACCGTTCGCAGGAGAACTAGAGTGATATTCTTTTTCCATAGCTCAATCTTTTTTTTTTTTTTCTTTTTCAAACACATCTTGTTAGACTAAATCACTTGATGTAAGTAAGATCAAACAAAACGCAAAGTAAACGTGAGGGAAAACATTCCGGCGTCATTCAAAGCTAAAATGCGCCTTATGTATGGGTGCGCCTCATGCACCAAATGAATAGGGCACTTCCTCGATGCTGTTATGGTGAGGTGTTGCTTGGTTTCAGTGGATCTATTCTACCTTTCGAGGTCTTGTTAGGAGCTGTTGAGTCAGCATTTGGTAGATTTGCTTGGGAAATTCCTGTATGGGAACATGTGACTTTCTTGGGAATTCCATAGTGATTATTAATTTTCTTAAGCATTTTCGGCATATGCACACGTCACTATGCGGGGCAAAAAAGTATCCTTTCGTAGACCGCCGCTTTGATGAGTGAAAACACCAGCCGTCCAACTGTTGGGATATATTCGATGTGGTTCGTGATTGTTGTTCTTTCATAACTGGACCTGGTATCCAGGGACGCCATCGTGATGCGTTGTGATGTCGTATTTGACCGCGAAGCGGAGGAGGGAAGGGGGGGGGGGGTTGTATTTGGACTAGAGAAATTTTTTGAATAATCGATTTTCTTCTTTTCAAGGACGCGTATAGAGGAAGGAAGGGGGGGGGGTCGTAGTTGATCGTTATTGGGAGAATAACTGCCGAAAATCTATACAACTACTATTGCTGATAGTTGAAAATGATAGTTAAATCCACTCCCCCCTAGACAGCAAAATATTGGGGAAAAATCAGAAATTTTCCGGGAAAAAAATGGAAAAGGAGGTAGGAGGTAGGGGAAATCTAGGAAAATTGTAGGTGGCACGGGAGGGGGTTACTTCGAGACGAATTAGGGGTGGGTCGTATTTGTTTGGAATTGATCAACAACGCGATGTCCGCTGCTGATATGTCAAGCGAGTATTTCGCGCGGATTACGAACATTACTGCTTGAAGAGTAAGCCCATCAGATTAATATAATACCCACCTAGTTCTGATCACCTACCTATATCTATGCGTCCATGTGTGGTCTTTTTTGTCCCTCCCCGCCTCATGTAAAAATTCTGAACGAAGGCTTTGTAATTACCTAAATTTATTACTAGTCAGCTTGAATCATTACAGATCTCTTCTCCTTTCAACCGAACTCGTTGCTGCAGTATCCAATGTTGTCTTCATTTGGACGCAATCCTCAAATGAATGCGGTACTCGCTTGATTTTCCATGCACGTGTATTTTTTCTTGTTTTATACGCAGATGTTCAGGAATGCTTCAAAATTTTACCTTTCAAATCTTGTTTTATCTTCAGAAAATCTGACTTTTTCAAAACCTTGACTGCAGCTTTTTTAGTGCCAATGTTAAGTGCTTCATTTGAATGTTTAAGAGTGTTAGAAAATATGCAGCACAACGCTGTCTCTGAAAAATCATTGTGTTTGCCCTTATAACGTCCTACCTTGCGTCTATGCAGACAGCGGATGGTAAAATGTAAATTACTTCAGTTCAGTTCGTAAAAGCGCAGTTTCTTCAGTCATCACCCGCTCTCTTTAGCACGGCTAGCTATTGACGTCTCATAGAACTTCTTCTTCTTCTTCTTAGCGTTCTTGTCCAACTGTTGTCGGGTACGCTTCTTTGACCAACGCTTTCCAACGGTCCCTGTAAATAGAATCGGCTGCGGACAGGCCAGCAGCGGTCATGTCCATATTCAGGTTGTCTTTCCACCGCATTCTAGGTCGGCCTTTTTGGACGTTTACCGGTGAAGACGACCTTATCAGCGGACTTCGATACAGCATCAGGAGGTCTCCGTTGAACGTGACCATACCAGCGGAGACGAGCTGCGGCAAGGGAGTTGGCAATCGGAAGGAGCTTCATCCTGTCTCGGACTGTTTCGATGTGGATTCGGTCGAGTCGCTTGTGTCCCAGACTCTGTCGGAACATTCTC